TTACGCAACAAAATAGGTAGGCCGGATAAATTTTACCTAGTGTGGTAAATTTGGGTGGCAAATTATGGTGTGGTACTCTAGGATTAAAACACACGTTTGAAATTGTTATTTCAAAACCTATAAAACACATAAACCTATAAACTAGAGACCTTATAAGAAAAGACTCGCCAACTCGTCACGTGATTGTTTTTAGTGAACTCTGATTGGGGTTTGGATCGTACAACTATGCTCCGATCAAACAAAATAGGATATATTACGACTTTATGAAGCACAATTGTGCGATCCGAACTCCAGCCAATCGATCAGAGCTTGAGTCTCTTCTTATAGGATCTCTATAAACTATAAACTATAAACCTATAAACCAAAACTTATAAACACACTTATTTTGGTTCCATTTGAAAGACAATTTAATTTTTTAAAACTTTTGTTTTAGATTTTTTTTGTAAAAATACATACTTTCCATGATATTTATGAAAATGTATAAAATAATCGTGAAGTTTTTGGACAATCTTTAAGGAAGCACTTTTTGACTCATGTTTATAAAAAAATTTTTGTTCAAAATTAAATTTCCTATAAAATCTCAAAGTCTGGCAAAAACATTCAAGGCCACCCTGTATAATATCATTTTTTACTTTCTACTTATACTTAACCATACTTTTATAAAATTATTACAGACACACATAAGTGTATTTTTGAAACACATAAGTGTGTTTTTACGGTATATTTCATATTTCTTATATTTATATAAAATATAGCATATCTCTCTTTTTATTTTTTCATTATTTATATAAAATATGTTTCAAACCACTGTTTAAAGTGAACCTTTTTTATCAAAAATATTGAGAGTTTATTATTACAACTTTCTATTTCTTACGTCATATCTTTGACTAAAGAGTGATCCAAAAACAGGCCAAAAATGGCCTGTATTTTCGCCCTCGATTCCGGACTTTATTTTGATGATAAATGATAGTAAACCATGGGACAATAATCCTCTGAAACTTCCAAATTGAGTCTACTCTTTGTTGCCAAGTTATAAAGCCTCAAAGTTATCATTTTATACCGTGTTTCTCAAAACGGATCTTTGCATGTGAATAGCTTTTAAGCAAAGCATTTTAGAGAAAAATGTTTCAGATAAAAGTTGTAGGTTTGTCAAGTAAACAAGGCTATGTAAGAGTAAATAGAAGAAGGCCTTTACTTAGATTTTGAAGACATTTCTAAAGTTTATTTCAAGATCAACTTCAGCTTTTCCAGTGGCTCATCCAATTTGAAAGTTTCAGAGGATTAGTATCTCATGGTTTACTATCATTTATTACCAAAATAAAGTCCGGAATCGAGGGCGAGAATACAGGCCATTTTTGGGGTCACTCTTTTAATTAAAAATTTTTTAACAGAATATTTATTAAAATTTTATAAAAAATTTCTTCAGAATTTTCGAATTTTCCAGGTATTTTTGTTCGAAATTTCAGGTAAAATTAGAAAATTTTTAAATACAACTTTGAAATATGTAAATTAGACTGTAAGCAATGCAAACAAATTATATATTGTGAATTAGTAAAAAACAAGAATTTCAAGGAATCTATGGTATATCTAGTAATTTTGATAAAAATTTATAAAATAGAATTAGGCTTCAATGACCTTGACATATGTTGTCAAGGTTATGACCTTGACAACAAACATTTCAAAGGTTTTAAATATCGCTCATTATTAAAAAATTATTAACAAATAAAGTTGACAATATAAATATATGTGTTTAACTTTATGATTTAAATTTTAGCTAATATAAATACTTTATTATTTGCATATTTGCATACTTAGATAAATGCTTGGACGACTTCTGCTAAGTGAAAGACTTCTTCTTCATTCCTACCTTCAAAGAATATAACTTAATCCAATTAGATTTTAGTTCCAAATTAAAAGTTGCTTTTTGAAAAGTAAAAATTTCATGTAAAAAGTACAATTATAGTCCTCGTTTTGCCTTATAAGCAGGAATGGGATGGAGTCTCGCTTCATATTGAAAGTTGTAAACCCAAATGGAATTTCACTTCGTGTGGAAAGTTGTCCATACGTAAAATCTTTGCGTGAAAAATTGTAAACCTACGTAGAACATTGCTTTGTGTGGAAAGTTGCAAATCCATGTAAGCACCGTTCCACAGGTTTACAACTTTTCACACGAAATGAGGTCCCTGACCCAATCTTTTCCAATGGTGAAACCTCCCCGTAGAAGGATGGATGGAATCCACTGTGTCCAGGTATACTTTACAATACAAAGCAAGGCTCCAGATGGATTTACAACTTTCTGCCTGAAGCAACGTTTCTAGTGTTTCAACCCAAATATAGTTTTTCACTGCCCTTTCGTACGGAAAGAATAGTATAAGAATGGCTTACTACACATGGGCAAAACGTGTTTACTTCTTAAATATAACGTACCGTGTGTTCTATTTATGAAGCTTACCTAGTTAACATTTTAACGAATAATGAGCGATAAGAAAAGAACCTTTGAAATATTGTTCATAACCTTAATAACATATGTCAAGGTCAAGATCATCGGATTCCAGTCTCTTTTGTAAAGGATGAGTATCGATAAGATCTGATTTTGGCCCCCCTCAAATTTTGATGCACCTCGTTAAAATGTATCTCTCAAAATAGTTTACACTCATTTCAAGTATTTTGAGCTGAAACGGACATGATTGCACAATGCCTGTGCCTTTTTGCTGTGTATTGTTTCTGCTGTCAATCTGATTTTTGTATAAAAACTTGCGAGATACAAAAATATATGTGAATTAATATACGTGGACGTATACCTCTGTCCAGCTTCCCCTCCCCCCCTCACCATCACCACGCCGAAATAAAAAAACGAATAGCTCAGAATTATAAGAGCTATTTATAAAGTCTCAAAGCAAGTTAAAAATTTTGAGCTTGTCCGCCTTAGCAGGAATTTTGATTTAAAGGTAGGGGAAGGAGAGGGGGCTAAACGGAGACGTCCACTCAGCCCCCATCCCCTTAACAATAGGAAATTGTTAATGGGCATATAATTAGAAGCTCTTTTGAACTCTTAAATCAAGGCGGTTTTGATTTTTTAGCTCAATATCTTATCCTCAAATCAACCTTCAAAACTAGTTTACGTTGAAAAGACAACTCGTGTAGAAGAGTATTTTTTTTAAAAAAAAGGTAAAAAAAGGTGACAAGCCTACGCACTCAAACTCGAAGAAAAAACAGTTGTATCAAGAATTAAAAAGTAAAATCTGATTTAAATGTAGGGGAGTATAGAGTAATTTGATTAACTTTTTTTTAAACGACTTTAAAACTCGTATTTTTTCGAATTTCATGAAACCAAATAAACCGTTGGAAAGGTAAAAACCTAGCGCAACTTTTTCTCGAATATACGTGCCTTCTATCTCATCGCAAAAAAAATATGATCATTTTCCCGAAACACAAAAAATCGAGATTTTTTTTTCATAGCGTAATTTGATCAACCGTATAAATCCTAAGAATTCTTAAAATATAAATCATAAAATAAAGCCAAAACAACATATTTTCAAATTTTAGTTATTTTTTAATTAATTTCATTGAAAAAAAGCACAAAAAAACACGCGAACATTGAAATTAATCTTCCATCTGCGAGTGCTCAGAATCGCAATGTACGCAGATGTAATAACCGGCTGTTATGTTTGCGCATTTCATACAAATGATGCAGAAGTCTTCTTCTTCCGAGTCAGAAGATGATGGTGCACCGCCCGTACAAAGTAATTGAATTTTTATTAAAAGATTGTTGTCGCTGATTGTTGAAAAATCGTCGATCTACTTATCAAGCTGCAAAACATACCGATTCAAACTTGTTCTATGAATATCGTATGACAAAGCAACGCTTCGTATCGATTTCTTCC